CTTCGCTGTCTCGTCCAGACCGACCTGCATCACGACACCCTTCTTGCACATCTCCATGACCATGTACAGCGAGTCCTCCTCTGGATCATCGAGGACTTCGATGAGCTGAACCAGGTTGGGATGGTTCAACTTCTTCATGATGGCAACCTCCTCCCGGATCAGATAGAGTGCGTCGTTCTGCTCAGCCGTCCGCATACTGCTACCATGCGCTTCCAGATTGCTGCCAGGGACCCGCCTGTATGGGCGTTGAGGACCCTGGCGGAGGATGTTGGACTGCGCGCGTTTTCGCAGCCGGACCTTGGAAAACTCCTTGATGGCCTTAGTGGAGGAAACGAGGTTAGTGAGTATACTTCACCGCATCACATGGCATGGCATGGCCATCGGAGACCTGCAGAACTTACGTATTCGGTGCCAAACTGATCCGTCCCAATATGAACTGCTCCGTAAGACCCACGACCTATCTCATCCTGAATTACATACTGGTTAATCCTATGGTGAGTTCTGCCATCAGACTCGTCACTCAAGATTTCCACACGAGCATCAAGCGTCTCCTGTTATTTTCATATTAGTATCGCCCAGAGAATCCAACAACAGCCGAGTGTGTTAGGGAAAGAGGGAGAGTCCCATCTTACCTTGACCTCGCGATGAGCACTCGGAGTGCGCTTGTGATGTCTCATAGGGCTGGCATATTTCGGCTCAGTATGAGGAGAATCAAACCTGAGGGTAGAGAGACCAGTGAGCTTCCGGATTGAGCCAGGTTTATTACGCGATGATGAGTAGAGGGTAGGGGATGTGGCGCCCTTAGAGCCTCCCCCATATAGATGCACCTACTCGTTGTGTGGGAACACGGGACGAGACCCTGCACCAAGATCGTCATGGTTGTCCACTGTAACCTGTAGAGACTGGAAAGCTTCCGATACGGCGGAAGCGTCTTGCTTCGCACCAGCGGCGTCCACGGACTCGGCCATTGTGAAGGATCACCGTGCAGGACAGGGCGTTTCGATAACCCCTTATTCTCACGTGAGTGGCCTGGGAGGAGGATGGTTTGTAGCGAGGGCGGTCTATCCAGTCTCGCCGCCTGACAGGTCCCTTGATAGCTCCTAGACTCCTGGTAGAGAGAGCAAGACGTTGGGACGGTTTTCGGGGGGCTTTGGCCTGCCCACTCAACAATGGCAGAGGCGATAGATGCACTGGTCCTAGAAGAACTGCCGCTAGAAAGGAGGTGAGCTGACGACCAAGCCTGAGGTGATTGCCTCGTTAGGCTGCATGGGAACTTATACTGAACGGAGGGGGAGCTGAGGACCCCGCCATTGATTTGTATTGCGTGGTGCTCTACCAAATATAGGTACGCTGAAGCGCTGGCTAGACCCCTATGGACCTCTGGATGCCCCGCAGGACGGGGGAACAAAGCCAGGGCAGCTACAGCTCCATATCTTGGGTAGTATTAGTGCTGCCCTATCAAAATACAGAACAGGTGCCTTGCTGGGTTGAGCTGTGGCACGGGCCCGCTCCGTGGCTGCCAACCCCATCAACTAACCGTCGACATCCAGGAACAGCCTCACCACCATCTAGCCGCGGATTCCATGCTCTCGAGATCTACGCCCCTCGACATCGTCAGCCCCAAATTGACCAACTTGTGGGAACTCCGGTGCATCGAAGCTGTCGAGGTCACTTAGACCATCCAGAGCCAGGTTCCGAATTGAACCAAATTCCCGCCACCGTCCAATTACTCCTCGACCCATCGCAACACCTCTGCCAACATGACCGTCTACTCCTTCTACATATTTGACCGGCACAGTAAGGCCAATTTCTCCCCCCAACCGCTGCCCGAAAGCAACCACCCCTAACCACGCGTGCGCCCTGCAACAGCCGAATGCATCTACACAAAATCATGGCTCCCAGCGACCGACCGCCCCGCGAGCTCACAGACGTCCGCCTCTGACGACGCCAAACTCATCTTCGGCACCGTCTTCTCCCTGCGCAACATGATACGCAAGCTGGGCGGCGAGGACGACGCCTTCATCAGCTTCAAGACGGCCAACTACAAGCTGCACTACTACGAGACCCCTTCCAACCTTCGCTTCGTCCTCATCACCGACACGGGGACCCTGAGCATGCGCAACGTCCTTCACCAGATATACATTAACCTCTGGGTAGAATATGGTAGGTGGATTTTTTTTTTTTTTCCAAAGACGTCGGTGATTCAGATCTTGTTGGATCTGGCTGGGTCTTGCTATGCCTGCTCCAGCCGCACCCCCCTGAAAAGGGGTCCTGAAGTCAAGGATGCCCAGAAAACCTCTCTTTGCCTTTGAAGAAAAGTTGACAGGCCGGCTGACACGGACGGATAGTTGTCAAGAACCCTCTCTCGCCAGTCGAGCACAAGGGGGGTGAAGGTGTGAAGAACGAGCTGTTTGAGCTTGGCCTCGACCAGTTCATCCGAGGCCTCATGTGAACCACTGCAGAGGACACATTCATGAAATAGTGTTCTGGGTAGGAAAACGGTACCGGGATCTCCCTGTTGGCCGCTCATGACGCACGCCGGCGCAACCTACATTCAATTACTAGCGCTACATCGTTGTTTCTTGACAACAACAACAACATCACAGGAGACACGACACCTCAAGGCGAAGCTGCTGCGTCGCACATTGGCGCTGGACGATTGTCTCTCGCGGCCGCGGTTGGGTGTTCTTAAAGGAGCCGCGCCTTTGTGCGAGGCTCGCCGCTGCAGACTGAAGAGCGTGCCTGCCCATAGGCCTATTGAAAACTCTCGAGCTTATCATCGCTCGAGCGTGGGAATTTGTGGACTCGATGCGCAGCGCCTAGGCTGTAGACCCAAGGGGTGGCGTCACAGTCACAGCAAGAACGAGTGTTAGACATTGCATGGCACGTTAGATATCGCTCATGGCGCGCCCAACCACAACACTAATACTATTGATACCCATTGCCTGGCTTTGCGTAGCCACCTATTCCTTGCTATCGTATGCTTTCACTCTAATCTTACAATGCTCTCTGTAATCCCACAACATGAAATCTGTATTTTCCAGGGAAATATTAATTAAACAAATGAGAAATATTCAGGAAAAGAAGGGGGAAAGCCAGTGACCCAAATAACGCTCCTCTAACTCTAGCCCGTTGACAGAATAAACTGTTATCCTATGAAAATGCGGGAGGCTTCTCACGGCTTGGCTACCGCCCGCTCCCAAGCACTTTCTAGGCCGGTCTGTGGCTCAACCACGAAGATGCTGGACTCTCCGATCTTCTGTGAGGGCTCCTCAGGCCAGTCGACATGGACTGCACTGTCCATCATGCCGTCTTCCTGGACCTCGTTCTGCCAGTTGCTCGAATAGACAACAGCGGCAAACGACTCCAAGTCACGGACCGACTCCATGTCCTGGAGGTATTCATTGGGCATGCCATTCCCAATGACGTGTGCCTGCCGAGTGAGCACGGAGAGGATCTTGGGTAATAAGACGACCTTTGTGCTCTTCAGTTCTTTGCTGTAGGGCACGACTACATTCCCGTCTGGCTGGGCAGGAAACTCGAATGCTTCCTTGGCAAGCTTCTTGTCAACTAGAGAAGAGAACCCCGCATCGAGAAGGAGGGTGAGGACATGTGCGAAGGAAGGCGACTCAATGAGATCTGCCGTTTCGTCTAGGAGCCTCCGAAGGGAAGCAGGCGATTGCTGCGAGCTTTGTAATGAGGTGCCCAGAAGAATACCAGATTCTTCCAATACGAGATCCTCATCCTCGCGCGGGGGCAACAGATAGACAAGCCATTTACCTTTCCTGCGCTCCTCTTGTGTCGCACCTTCAACAAGCTTCCGAACCTCCATAGTGAGCTCTGCGAATCTGTCGAAGCTCACCAGATCACGGGGGCTCAGACTGCCAAAGACAGTGCGAACGGCGCCCTCGACCCGCTTCATAATATACATCCAACCTCTATTAAGCAGCCACCAGCTGAATGTCAGATATTTGCGGTTTGTGTCGAAATCACTTCCATAAGCCTGTTCTGAGTTGTCATCGTCGTTATTCTCCAGGCTGATGGTAGCCTGTTGCGAGCTCGTGGCGAGAGCAACGACGCTCGAGAGATAGCTCCGGCGACCTAGCAGATTCAACTGAATCCGGGTAAGCATAGTCAGGAGCGCAAGAGTATAGATGAGAGTAAAGGCGCGGGTAACAGCTGGAGTTGGCCGAGTTTGTTAGCGCGCTCGACCCTTGGAAGCAGAACATGACCTTCACGTACCGCTGATAGCTAGATCATCCCACAGCTGTCGCTTTGACTTTGTTGGCTTTGGAGGAGCGCTCTCTTCCTGCAGTTCGACGCCGGGGGCGGCAGCTGGTGATGGCGCCGGGTCGGTCGAAGCACTTTCGGGGTGTAGACTCTTGCTCTCCTCCTCGGTGAGGGAGGTGTCGGCAATGCTAGGAGGTGTCGATTCCGTGATACCTGCCCTGAGGCCTTTGGCGCTCTTCATCTGTTGAATCTCATATGTGATCTTCTCCGTGTCCATGGCCTCGAGGATATTCGTTGTCGCAGTCGGCAGCAGGGCGAGGACGGTGAATGTACAGTCTTCTTGGTTCTGCTCGAACCGGCGGCGGAGACTACGAGGCAGCTAGTTAGTCTACTTGCGATGGCTTCAATGGGGAGCGAGAGGGCAGAGGGAGCGGCATGGGGGATGGCGTACTTTTCCTTTGCGATTCGTTCGCTGCTCATGCGCTCACGAGCATCGCTGATTCTGGAGATGACATATTGCGACACAGCATACCCGGCGCCGATGACACCTACGCCAATTGCGATGGGCGTACGGTTCTGGCGCAGCCAGCGCCGTGCCGACGAAAACATGTTTTGATTTTGAGGCGCCGACCGTATCCCGAGTGCCTGGGATGATGTCTGGGTGAGAAGCACGAGCCTTGCAGGTTAGAGGCACGAGTGGCGGTAGAGTGAGTGGGACCCGTCCCGGTATAGAGAAAAACGAGGGGAAGATAGGCGTCGCGACGGAGTCAATGACGGAAAAGGGGAGCGAGCGCGTGAGGTCAAACAGCTCATTCGCTCTGGGAATTACTGAACTACCTACTGGCCGCTATGCCGAGTCCAAGAGAGGGCTTATGGTTGACGAAGAACGCGCCGATGCATTTGGTCTCTTGGTGATATTGGCCGTCAACCGGAAGCAGGAGCGTTACTTGCACACCTGCCTGGAGGTGTGTCGTTTCAGCTGCTCTGCTATGACGAGCTGGATTTACCTCGGCCCCGGCGCGTTGAGAAAAAGCTGGCCCCTGCGAGTGTGATTGGTCCCTTTTGATGGACCCCGGGGACTTGATTATAGGGTGGAACCTATTAATTAATGCATCAACCCCCCAGCTGCATAATACTTCATCTCAGCGCATAAGAGTGTCGCGGGTTGCTTTGATTGACACACAAGCAACTGCACCTATTGTCCCAGACAGACCATACTTCGACATAAGCTGGTATAGAGAGCCCTGGACATAGCAGAGTCCTGTCACAATGATAGATACCCTCACTATAACCACACTGCAGTCCCGGGTACCATACTTATTTGGGGTGTGTAGTAAGGCCTGACGAGCCAGCATTGACTTTCACATCTCCAATTACAAGCACGAGCTGAAGATGTGAATGCATAGGTTCTGCTAAAGACTCTGCCCAGGCATTAGAGTTTCCAGTCTCCCGAGCCTACTCAACGTTGTAGAGCCGAAAATGCTTTAATACCGTATCCTTCTGGCGTATAGTCTGATTCTCCCCGAAGCCTCTCGCACAACCTTGACACAGGCATTTGTCAACCTGCAAGAAGATAGACCGTTGGTAGAGCTCATCTACGAGTTCCCGTTATACGACGATGCATCTATGGCATCCTTTACTTGTACTCTCAACGATCATATCATCCGTGGGCTGGTAAAGGAGCGCCGGAAGGCACGAGAGACGTATGATGAAGCCATCTCGCGGGGCCAGTCTGCCAGTCGTCTCGACCAATCAGTTGATGCCGGCGATGCCTTCACCATGAGAATCAGCAGTGCCCCTCCTAAAGCCAAGGTCAAGGTTGAGATCATATACTTGAGTGAGCTTAGGGGACGACGCAGAAATAAATGGCATGCGGCTCTCATTACCGAGATCGGCTGCACCACGCTATAGAAGTGCTGGAATGTTTCCAACAGCCAGCGGCTAACCAGACACCTTACCCTTTGGTCTGAACTTCATTGTGTATAGCCTAGGGAGCCGCCAAGTTTCTAAAGGACTCTGCCCAAGCCATTGAATTTTCCAACTCATCCTTCGCTGCAAGTGAGTGCACTTCCCTGCTATGCGGCAGCAGTAACCCCTAGCCAGAAAACAAAAGCACATCCTCTCACTGGAGACCAAGCACTACATTCAAACCTGGATCTTCTCCTCGGCGATACAAATAGGTCAACGCCGAACTCTGAGAAGATACCGCCAAGCCGCTACAACATCACACAGGTAATATCAGAATCCTCAAGACCTTCGAGGGGGGCTTTATTCGAGACTCCTACATTGCACAATGAACTCGAGAGGGACTTTATGCCATCTCGTTTGGTGGCGATGGAGTTCTCCAAATGCGGCGAACCGTGGGCTCTGAGCGCAATCCAAGCTTGGCTTCGGGATGTGGCAGGGGGGAGGGCTGGACTTGAGAATGCAAGATGTCAAGGACACTCTGCGTCTTCTTTTCACTTCGAGGGTGAGCAAGATGAGGGTGGCTGAAGCAAAAGCGCTGAGCAACCAGGTTGTGGCCACTATGCTTCGTACTCCTGTGTTTGTTCCGGACGAAGAATGTGTCATATTTGGACAGGGGCAGGTGCCGGGTGTCCTCTGGCAGATGACAGGATCTGGATGCTATGGCCCCAGATTACACAAGGATGAGGTGTCGGGGCGATGCTATCATTCACGATGTGCTTTAGGCCGCTGATATTAGCCTCAGGGTCGACGCTACCCTATGCTCATTGCCAACGGCAGCAATTCGATGTCAATTGAATGAATATTGGGAATTCGAACAAATAGGTTGATGTAATGAGTTAGTTTTATTGTCTTGGTTTGCAAGATGTGTTTTATGAGCGAGTGCTGAGGATAAGTTAATAATAAAAAAAGCCAATGATTAACTGCCTCGACTTTAAAGATAGTATCAACTCTCGGCTCTGGTCCAGCCACCAAAATCGAGCGCCACAGCCTTAACGATATGCGGCGTCGTGTAAGCAGACCCGACCACTTTAATACCTAGACCACATGATAAAAAATGGGCCCATGTGAGGCTAACAGGCTAACTTCTAGAGATCCTTGCCAACCAGCGATAGCGGCATGTTTATCACTGAGTGCCCCTCCCTACAATCGAGCTTGGAGGAGGAACACGCTCCCCATCTCCGCCCCGACATCAACCCCAGGCACCCGCTCGCGCGACATGGACCAGCAGGAGCCGGCAGAGCTGATACTCGACGTCTTCACCGACCCGAGGTCCGTCCGCGACGTCGTCAAAGGCAAGCTGATTCCTCCCCCCTCTCCGTCCCGTCCCTGTCATCCAGAAAGCCCCGCGACGTCATCCTCTCCTGTCTCAACATCCCATCCCATCTCCCCCTCCTCCGCCCAAGACCACCACCACCACCACCACCACTCCTCCCCAACAGAGCTCAAACTATGGAACTCACATCGCTCATTCGAACTACTTCCGCCCAGGCATCCTCCACACCATCTTCTTCCACCGCTTCTTCCCCGCCGTCACCCCGCAGACCCGCGAGGTCCTCGACCTCTCGCTCCCCTACGTCGACAACGATGAGCTCGAGACCATGATCGACCAGCGCGCCGCCGCCCTCGAGCGCCAACTCGACGCCGAGCGCTCCTCGGCCAACAGCACCGGCGGCGGCCGCGGCCAGTTCACCGTCCAGTTCTTCGAGAAGCGCCGCCGCAAGGCCTGGCTCACGCGCGGCGACGACGAGGTCTGCTGGGAATGCTGGACCCTCAAGGTCACCGTCGCCGAACCTAAAACAGAGAGTGGTGCGTACCTGTTTCCAGATGAGATGGGTGTGGTCCATCAAGGTATGCGCATTGGTTGCTAACACGAGGCTCTCGCTAGAACGGGCCAAAGTGCGACGAGCTATGGAACAAACACTCCAAACGACCGTGATGAAGATTGTTACATTTGTTAATACTCATAAAGATCACATCCCTCCGATCACCACACAAGGCGTGAATCCGTTCCCGTACAAAATCACTGTTGAGCAAAAGGAGTCGAGCTGGGCCAATCGCATGCGAATGTACTAGCAAATTACTGTTTCAATTCCATGCAGGGCAGCGTACGCCAAATTTGCGTCTAGCTACAGAACGTGCCAACTAATCCAATCGCTTACAATACTCCAACCTGTTCTCGCCCTGAGAGCCAGGTTATGACATCCAAGATGGTGAGCAAAACGCAAAAGCAAAAGCAAAAAGTAAAACAGCACGCATCCATCCGAACCTTGGTGTAAAAGCAAAACGCCAACTAATACCGTTCCAGACCCTTCCGATTGATGTCGCTCATCCTACACCTGTGCCTCCCAAAAAAATAAAAGACTGCGTTTGTCCGCGTGTTTGGAAATTCGTGCATTCGTTGCTGGTAAAACAAAAAAAGAGGAAATCAAAGACAAAGAAGTGATGTGAAATAGAGCTTCGAAAACGTCCACCCGACTCTTCTTGTAGCAAGACCCAAAGAAGGGCAGCAAGAAGATGTTTTCTTTTAATATGTATTTTGGGATCCTCATGAAGATAGCGGAAAAGTCCATCTTCAAGTAGGTGTTCCTCATTATTCATTAATTCATAAACATTGCTTCTCATGTTCCAGAATTGCTCATCTGGACTGTTTTAAAAGGTGGTGGAAAAGCTGCGGCCCAGGCCAGGCTTGCTTCCCCTAGACCTTGCTGCCTGGGACCCATTGCCGTTGCCAGACCCGATTTTCTCGAAGCCTTGTAGAATATCGAGACCGGTGAAGTCTGACATGGGATTTGAGCTCGTTGCAGGCATAAACTGGCTGTTATCTAGCATGAGGTGAGGCCAGTCGTTGTCGCCCACCATTTCGAGCATTGCATCGAATTTGGATGGCGAGGCGCCCTTGCAGGGTGATTGTTGAAAAAATTTGGAAGGGGAGCTCATTCCCTCAAATGCTTTGCTTGGGGTTTCCAAGAATTGCATGGGGGTGTCAGGGACTTTGAGAATTGGAGCAGAGGTGATTGGTTTCTTGGCAGCCGATGCTGTGAGGTTGCCGAGGACAGATGTGGTTGCAGAGCGCCCAAGAGGTTTTCTCTTGGCGGACCGCTTGAGTGGTGACCCATTCCCTGAGACAGTGCTCATAAGCCCGAAAGTATTATCGTTGAATGTGTTGAAGTCGCCGAAATCACCTAGGTTCTCAACATTGAAGTCATCAAAGTTGTAGAGGCTGTCTTCCAGTTTGAAAGCGGGGCTCCAACGGCAGGGGGTGTTTACTCCCATGCCGCCTACCTCGTCGCCAATTTCTGTTACTCTCCGCAATGGGGATTGCAGCAATGTACGCATTCTGTCGCGGTGCTGAGCAAGGTTGGTAGCAGGAGATACTGACACTGGTTGTTCAGGGGCCTTGATCTTCACAAGCGGAGTCAAAGGGGGTAGCATTTGGTTATCTTGTGCATGTCGTAGTGGCGATGATGAAATTGGGCCAAAGGCCGACTTTGAACGACGCTTAGTAGGGCTAAAGGGGGACGAATTGCGCAAGCGAGCAATTTCATCCTCAGCGCGACCCGAAGCCCCGAGGCGTTGTTTCTTTCTCCTTGGTTTATCTGCTTCCGAGGTCATCAAGAAAGATCGCTCAGTCGGTCTGAGAGCAGATGACTCAAGGGAAGAGATATATCCACTATCGTCCATCGAAGCAAACTTTGACCTCTTGCGAGAGCGGGAGGCGGAGTTCTGCTGGGATCCGAGAGGTGGAGGAGTTCCACTCCGGAGCTGTGAGCTTCTCGCCAATGGAGATGAGTTGAGCAGGCCGAGACCGGGTGAATAGAGCGAGTTTTCCAAGGCGGTTTCATTTTCTAAAGCCTTCTCACAGACTTCCTCAGGAACAGAGCCATCCGATACGGGAATAGTGGCATCTGAGGAGAGCTCTTGGGTTGTAGGCTGTGCTTGAGGAAGTTGCGGGAGAGGAATCTGAGGCATCTGCCCCAGAGGTGGGAGACTGGGCTCAGGAGGTGGAGGGGCCGGTGTGAGCCTTGAAGGCTCCAGCCTTGTAGACATCACTGGAAGGTTCTCAGCACTCGGAGCAGACTTTCGGCTCGGCTTCTCTTTGAGAAATTGATGCTCCGTTCCAGTTTCGATACCCCAGTAGTTTCCCTTTCCTGGATCATCCTTGGGCCGCTCGATTTTGATGAAGTTCTTGTGAAGACTCAGATTATGACGAATGCTGTTTTGCCAACCGGCGTCGTTGGGATTGTAAAAGGAGAAGTTGTCGCTAATCCACTTGTAAATCTGAGCCAGTGTGAGCCGTCGATTTGGGGATCGGAGGATGGCCATTCCAATAAGTTGGGCGTAGCTGTGCGGAGGCTTAGCGCCGTCATCGTGAACAGGAGGGAAAGAATCCCAGGGTGGTAGAGCTTGATCTTCGGTCTTGATCTTTTTGTTGGGTCTGAAGCCGGCATTAATGGGTGCTGCATCTAAAAGTCCTCGTTTTCCATTAGGCTTTGGATAGTAGTCCTCCACCGATAGATTAATGGTTTGCGGAGCAGGAAAAATGTGAGGATGAACGTTCTCTTTGCCAAAATGCATTCCTAAGTCAACCGAGGGCTTTTGTGGTCCGGTCTTGAATTTAGAGAGGAAAGGCCTCTTCTGAAGCGAATCGGTCACCTGGCGATTTCCAAGGGGAGGTGGAGCCATCGATACTGCGTGCAGCTTATTTACAGGAGATTTGACTGGTGATCTCGGAGAGGATGAACGTGTTTTGTGAGGAGATAGATTGCTTCGCCGAGCATTAGCATTAGGGGGGTTCAAGACGACGTTCGAGCTCGAGCTGCCAAGAGGGCGCCGGGAAGGTTTCGAGACAGTAGGCATTGGTGCGTGGCTGGTCATTGGTACCGAAGAAGTGAAGGCGGAATCAAATAAATCGTCCTGGAAGATGTGTAGCGGCTCATTCGACCCTGGAAAGCGGGAATGTTTGGCCATGATGGCCAGGCGTTGGCTTGGGGTCTGATTGACTGGTCAAGCAATGGTGCAAGGCAGTCGAGACTGTCTGAGTATTTTCTTTCGAGCTGAGAGAAACTGTTAGTGACTTTGCTGCATTGTCAATATGAACATGTGCTGCTTAATGTAAGCCACCATAAGTGGCGAGTTCTTTAAGTGGTCATTTCTTTCAAAGGGGGTATGGGGAAGTACAGCCATGTCACAGCGGCAAGGGGTCCGAAAGAAAAGGAGTGAACGGATGAACAGCAAAATAAAAGATCGAACGCACCTATTAATGCGAATGTTGGAAGTTGGGATGAAAGCGAAAGTGGCAAAATGTTGGGCCAGCTTGATGTTGAGTTCGGATGATACTATGTTGAAGATGGGGAGATGCCAAGGTGGATGTGCTTAAGTCGGCGGAGAACGCGTGTCGACGGGACGTGTTGGAAGTACCGAGATGCGAGGAAAACGGTCGGGAGTTTTGGTCAATGAGTCCGGGAGCCAAAAAAATGTCGAGAGAGTATTTTCGACGACGTTTCGTTTATGGTCGGACGTGGAGGTGTTGCAGCAAGGTAGGAGGCGGTTTCGTTTCGTTGGTGCGAGGAGTAAGATTCATTGAAGGATGAAATTATGGGCTGGCGGGTGCGAGGAAGAAAACGAACGTGCAAGGGAAGGAGCAGGCCGGGTGGGCGTGACGGCAAGGTACCTGGTACATGTACTTGGGTAGATTGATTGATGGGAAGAGCCAAGAGCTGGACAACTCAGCAAGCTGGCCCTGGTACCAGGTCTGGTGGAGCCCTCAGGAGCACAAGGGAGGGAGCGACAGCGGCAGGGATTGGCTGGAGGGTGTCTGGGCTGACACAGCGTCGACAGGGATGATCCCCAGCACGAATGCGAGGGAGAACTCAGAAGCTGAGAATAGTTGGAGGGCGGTTAGGAGAAAGAAGGGCCGCGTCGCGGGGGTTTCGGAATGAGCGAATGGCACTGGCTGAGTGACTGGCTGCGTTTATGCACCATCCATCCACCCACCAGGCGTCTGTCTGTAGGACATGAGTTCTTTATGATGTGATTGCATGAGAGCGTCTGTCTGTCTGTCCCCAAGCTACAGAAATACTGGACCCAACTTCCCAACCTGGCCCGGCTTTCCTGGTCTACAACCAAGACTGGCACTCTCCCAAACGGGTAGATAGCCCTCATGCTGAGACGTGAAGCTCACAAAGGATTTACGATCCAGTGACTGCCGACCAAGAGCACACACACAGATGCCACACAGCGTATTAGCACCATACCATCGTGACAAAAGATGGAGCCGCTACCACGAGGATGACGATTTCCAAAGAGCGATAGCGAGGTGGGGCCCAGGTCTCGATCTCGATGGTACCGAGTACATCCTCTGCTCGCAAAGTGGCGTCGATAGATGGGCTGCAGCACCAGAGTCGGACTTAGGGGGGTTTTGGAATGATTCGACGCGACACAGGGCGCGTACTGAGGTCGGCCGGCTGCTTCAAGGCCTGTGCCAGGCCCGTCTTTGTGGCCCCCCTCAGCTTTACTCGACCTCTTCCACCCTGCGTACAGGAATTGACTTCCCTTGCCAGGCCGTTAGCGCGGCTTTGTCTGCTAAATTACGTTGGGCCTGGCTGGCTGTCTGCTGCCGGCAAAACAGGGCAATTGAGTTTGATACATCCGATGGCTACTTTTGGCTTACAGCGTCCCGCCCATCGGGATCAATCTAATTGGAGCTGCGCCCCGAGCACTAAGCCTGGGGCTGTCAACCTTCTAAAGATCGACAGTCATTGGGTGCCCGCAGGCCACCAGAATTAGGGAAGACAAGACCTGCTGCTGCCTGCAGCGCTAGACCTGGGCTGGCAGAAGCATGGAGGTGCAAGCGGCACCGCAGAGAACGGAGGGGCAAACGGCATGAAAGGTTCTTGGGGGCCTGATAGGGAACACATGGGTCTTCCAACAACGAACGGTTGAGGTTCGTTGTCTCCTCCTGCCTGCCTGACTGTCGGTTGGTTGGTTGGAGGAGGAGGTCGCCTGACTGACGTTGGCCGACGCGTCTCACGACGCGCTCGTATTGTTTTGGTTGGGGCGCGTCGCGGGCCAAT